TGATGAATTAATCATACTTCATGGACCGTGTTAGCTATTCCAAAAAAAGGTTGAACAGTTGTAACAGTTGTTTAATTTAATTCAAACAAACTAGATTCACAAACCTGCAGCTTCATCCTCATGCCCATCCCCAACAAACCTAGTACTAAGTATATATATCTTCTCGGAAATGGTATTCCCTTTCCGATCACTGCAAACGTGGCACGAACCTTTGAAGCCCCAAGCAGGTTGCCACAGAAGGAGCTGCCCTTCGCACGTGTTGTTTTTTTGCATAGTCTGCGTACGCACATTAATCCGAGCTCCTCTGTACTCCACGAATTCCCACAGGCCTGTGCACACCGAATTACATAAACATCGATAAACCGTGTTGCCCAGTAGAGTGCTGCACAAATAACTGATGAACAAGTGTAATGGAGAATGTATTGCAAAGTTCAATTGGCAACTTTAGAATTATATAACATACACTATATTATAACCATCTGCCAGGATACCTCAAAGGATGTTGTTCACTCCATGTCTTTGAGACTGTCCATGGTAAATCACCCCTCCATCCTGGCGATCGTCCTGACGCCTGGGCAATCCCAAAGCACTGAATTAGATGAAGCAGTCCTCAAGACATTTGATCATCTCGAGGATCCCAGCTAAACCATTGATCGATTTCGTCTCAAACAATACGGGAGTTCCGAAGTATTGTCCAGTTCCCCAAAAAGAAGGTGTAAGATCGGCATCATCCTGTTCAATGGAGTGGGAACTATGGGATGGAGATCTATGAGAGTGGGAAGGAGTGTTCTTAGATCTTGGAGGTCTAGGGGATGGAGTCGGCCAACAGCAAGTCACTTGGGGTATATTTGGAATCTTCCTGTTCCCAAACCGGCCGGGTATTGGATGAGGCTCTGCACTTCGGTAGAAATGGAGTGCAAGTCACATAGAAAATGAGATGCACCACGCGAATGTTCCTCATGTTCATAATTGTGCACTACTGGGGGCGCTCTGTGTTATCCACTCCTGCAGGGGGGTGGGAAGCCAACCGGAATTCCTTCACGTCCTTCACAGGCCATCCTCTATTTTGGACCACCAACCACCCAAACTATATCAAAATATGTTCCTTTCACTATCTTTCACGGGTCACGGGTCCATTCAAAACAAAGCTTCAAAAAGGTGTACCAGTACCTTCGGTTCGGGTTCTCCAATGGAATACCCTACACTGCTCGTGGACCCCATTTTTTCAGGTTGAAGTATACCTGGACCTTCCAAAGTACTTTAGAAAATGGCACATGACCCTCTCAAAACAGGTAGATCTGTACCTCGTTCTCCGAGCTACGAACGGGTCGACTCCAGGTCCAGGTCCGAACAGGAAGCGGGTCCCGTTGTTGAGACGAGCTCCGGCTCGAGACCGCCCGCTGATCAGGCGCGGTCGCATGTTCTCGAGACGCGGAGAAGCAAAAAACCACTTCTCGATCGAGACTCGTTCTCAGGGCGGGTGGTTTTTTCAAAACACCGCCTGCATGGAGGAGACGAATCACATCCTGGATCCGATGTGATAGAGCTAAGGTACTCTCCAACTAATTGACATGGATGGCCCCACAGTGTAAGTGAGTCGTGTGCGTGTAAGCGAGTGTAAGCGAGTTGTGTCAATTCGTGTCCATAATATCGTAAAGATAGGATTGATTCAGAAAGTGTCCGTGACAACGGTGACGATCCAACTCTTTAAAACTTGGAACTTGGATTCTGTTATATAGTAGATACTTAAATAAAAATGTTAGGCACAACCGACTGGGACTCAGTGTTCAAAACTCTGTCAGTAGACTGAGGATCCAGGTTTTCATGTTGCCAGAAACCCCTTTTGGGCTTCTGCTGGTGAGCCTGGCAGCTGGTGTGGGCTCACTTCTTCTCTTCCTGCTCTTTGCAAGGCATTCTTGATGTTCATTGAACATTGATCCACCCGAAATTCAGCATTATCCTGGCCAAAATTTAAAGATTCTTACTTACATTCCATATTACATACGACTCGACATCATATTACAGTACTTCTTTTGCATCCTCTCCTATCCTCTCTATGTGTCCTTTTTTGGGGACGCAAGCAACCCAACCACCTAAGTCTCTGCTTCCTCCGCCTCTTCCCGCGTCTCACGCGGGAACGTGGTGCTGCTCAGTTCGCGGCTCAAACGTGCGTTGGCGGCCGCCGCACGGCGGTGCACGCGGTTCAAATAGACGAAGCTCAGTCCAGGGATACGCCTGAGTAGAGGGGAGGAACGGTGACGGTCCTGGTGTCAGGAAGGAGGTGATGGGAGGATGTGATGGGAGGTGTTTTTTGTTCTTTGTTGTTGCCTGGTAGGGTTGTTTTTGGGCTATTCATGCGATCAATGTTGTTGGTTCAGACCAGCATCCCCCAAATTGGGAACTCCGGCTCAGTGAGTTTCTAGACAACACCATGGCATCCATTGGAATGGCCGCAGGCATGAGTATTCCAGTCTCATGGATGGTCTGGTATACAATTGCAACTAACAGTCTAGCATCTCATCCTGTCTCGATCTTCCTCATAAAGTCTCGACCTGATGTTCCTGATCTTCCTCAAAGGACAGAGATTCCACTCCACCGATGGTGAAACGGAAGCAAGACCTTTGTGGATTCCCTGCTCGAGATCTACACCAAGTCTGCCTGATCTACACCGTACTGGGTCACCTGCACTAGCACTACAAACGGACCTTCAGGGACGCCGGAGGAGGATCCAACTTGTGTGGTCTTAGGTCTTAGGTGAGGGGGGTTCAACTCACCCTGGAATCCCTGGAGGCCAATGGGGGGTGTTGATCAATCAAGAGTCCCACCATGTTCACCGCACCAGTCCGGGAAGGCCGCGAAAACGAGGTCCTGGTCTCAAGCGAGACGCTCGATTCGAAGACGCCACAGCCACGACGGTCCAACCTCTACAGGCTTCCCGTCACAAAGGTCGTTTTCCGGCCGTCCCCCCCCGGAGAACAATCTCGGCACCTCCTGAGCTTGCTGGAAGGCGAGATGGCTGAGTCAGATGCACAGGTGGCAGAGATTTCGGGATCACCCAATCCCGAGCTTTGAGAGGTACCACTCCGCGCAAAGGATTGGGGAGACTCCTCCTCAGAGATGCTCTGCTTGCTGCCTGGCAACAAGGAAACCAGGGAATTGACGACGTTTTTTGCACGGAGAGATCTGAAGAAGACTTGGAGTCCCCACAGATCTGTATCCATGAAGGTCGGGCAAAAGTGTTGCGAACCATCATCCAGGTTCCCGTGTCAATGATCTAGCAACCCCCCGGCAAGCTTAGGAAGACAAACTTGCATGGATCACACCCATGTGTTTTCACAGAAAACCAGACTCCCTCAGCTTCCCTGCAACATAAAGGCTCACTGATTTTCACCTGTCGGATTTGAGTGGAGTTTAACCATTTTTCCTCGAACAGGTGACCTGCATGTGATCCCCCTTTTCCGGCATATAGGTCGTTCCAGATCATTAAAGCAATCATCACCAGCCCATCACCAACTCCCTTGCAGTCCGGCGACCACCTTCAGAGTCGACGATGCTCAAGGTGGTGCTGGGGGTCGTCTCTGCGGGGCCGGTGACTAACATGAAAATGCCACAAAGCATGGAGACTCCAGCCGTGACCAAGCCCGGCCACGATTTCACGGAGCGATATTCCTGAGAGTGCCCGAGTGCCCCAAGTGCGCCCACGCGTCACGCGATGCTGTTGGTGATGGAGGCAGGTAGTGGCACCCGGGTAGTCGAAAAGCTGTAGAAAGAGGTGTGAAAAGGGAAGGTTTGGCCAGAAGATGCCAGAAGTTGAGACCACCTTCTCAGAATGGTACCCACAGTTAGAAACCTTCCAAAAGCATCCAAAAGCCACCCTGGAAATCGGAGTCACTGTCTCCCTCTTATCAAGGAGACTCCAATGCTCCCACACCAACAGGCCGACCAAAAAACGAAGACCATGTGGCCAATTTGGCCACCGTAACAGGTTAAGTTTCGGATGGTTTTACTGATATTCTACATTTAGGGAATGTTAAACGATGTTAAATGGTTAGAGTATGTTAGAGTCAGTCTTTCTCCTCTGAATCAGTTGTTTGCTCTTGACTCTCTTTCTAGTTTCAATTGATTGAAGGTACACATGGCCAAGCGCCACTCTTCACCCTTCCCAGGTACCCCCGGCCCGTTGCTATACCCCCCGGTTGCTACTCCTACCCCCCCCCGCCCGGTTCTACCGCCCGTTCTCCCGGTTCTACCCCCGCTCTCCCACCCGCTCTCCCCGTCGGCCACGGTGCGGCCAAACAGATCATCCCCGAGGCCACGCTCAAGATGATGTTGGCCGTGGTATTCAAAGGCACAAAGATTAAGACATCACAGCGGCGACATCCATAGATGGTGCCCCAGCCTGGGAACGTCGACACGACGCGGGGGTACGGTATAGAGCGGAGAGTCAGTTATAGTAGACGTGAGCTTTTTGAGATATGTTTAAACATATGGAAAGGACGGTGAAAGAGACATGAAGCAGTCCTTCAGCGAACCGAAAAAAAAAAAAAAAAAAAAAAAAAAAAAGAACGTGCGCAGCTTTTGACCAAAAAGGGGTGTCTCTGGATCTTCCAATTCACCTGAAATCCACGTGGGGAGGGGGGGAACTGCATGATCTACCGTCCTCTCGTGTCCCCCGGCGCCGGCCCGGCGTCGGTGGGCGTTGCCAAGTATCGCATGAGCACAAGAAAGATCACGTTCCCCGACAGACAGGTCCAGAAGACGGGGGAGGAGAAGCCTGGATCCTCAGATCAACCGAAGAGTGACCTACATGGCAGCTTAAGCACTAATCCGTGGGGTGGGGTGCCGTGGTGGGTCACAACGATTTTTCATACATGGATGAGCCATTTGGATGATGTAAAATGCATGCAAGTTGGGTCTATCCGGTCCACGACCCAGTGGATGATGGTTGGGTCGCAGGCCTTTCTGTGACCAGTGTTTACCGACTGTTACCGGTTTAATGACTTTTAATGGGACACACCCAGAATGTAACTATTCCATAGATGGATGGTTTGGATCAACCATCTTCACCAACCTCGGCCGATCTGCGAGAGAGACGTCCGTTCACCGTCAAACGTGGTGCGACCGTCCGTTCAACGCCCCACGAAGATACCCGAAAATCGAAGGGATTTGCGGCGCTTGCGGGGCCAAACACGAAAACCATCTACCGAAGAGGATTTTGGTTGTTTGACCCACAAGGGAAAATCACCACCCTGATGAAAACCAGGCATATGAGAACTCCTGTTGTTGAAACTGGGTGATTTCTGTGCTTCATTGATGTTTCTAATTACACTGGACTTCGGGGAAGTGTGGACTTCCTTCACAAAACTGTCCGGGTGCGGCTCCCTCTAGTCGTCCTTCCTTTCCAAATCCTGAATTCCACCATTTAGACTCTGGACACCGGAGCACATTGGAGCGCCCTGGCCAGTGTAAACAAAAGAACATGCTTTACTTTGAGCTATTCCCAAGCCATCAAGTTCTTCTGGGGCCTGCTTGGCCACTGGTAGCACACTGAGTGGGTGCCTGGCAAGACACCGGGTGATGCCCTGTGGCAGAGGTCAAACATTGTCAAAACAGATTATATCTAAGTGCCTCCTCAGAAGATATTTGGACCCTCTAAACCCACCCCAAACACCTTCTCAAAAGGTACTTGGAGCCCTAGGGATAGACATAAACACTCACTTTCAGAGTCCTGTCAGGTGGGGCCCAAAGAACGTTGCTGAGAAACAAAGTGAAGACCCATCAACCCTGGCATGCCAAAGGGATGCCCAGGGATGTTACACCAAGCAAAACCCACCCAAACCCACCCCTACCCCTATCCATCCCCAGTGTCAACTCACCAACCCACAAACCGATGGTACCACCACAACCAAAGAAAGATCAACTGGCGCGCAAAGCTGTGCCAAAGCTCTAGCCGCCCAATGAAGTCATCTTCCTTCACGTGAAACGACGACCAGCCTCGCTCGAAAACCGTTTCGAAGTCATGGAGATTGTGCCAGGGTGGAGACCCATGGTTTCATTTGGCCCAATGGACCAGGAATGAGTGAAATGGCGGATGATGGGCGCGCCTGTGATCATGGGGGCGCGCACCTGAGAGATCCTAAGAGCCTGAAAAAAGACCAGTGATGATGAGCCCTTTGGATGGTTCAAGAAAGAAACTTAATGGACTTTACAAAAACTCCGAACCCACCTGATGGTCCACGGTGACGGAGTCTTTTGTCATCTTTTGTCCATAAAAATGTCTTACTGGTTTCCTCTTCCATCTCCTAGTAGTTTGGTGGGTTCCTTGTGGATTTGACCGATAACGAAGTCCTGCGGTGGTTTTGACCGATGCCGCATCCAGGCGCTGGTTGCTCCAAACACAAAGCTGTTTTAGTTGATTCAATCTGAGAAAAAACGAACACATCAATGAACACTCTAGGTTTGCTCTTCAGTTGGGCGTTGCACATGCTTTCTTTGATCTTCCAAGAACCCAAGAATGAACACGAGCACGAGATCAGCACAGTGCATCACACCCCATCGGCACAGTCTTACCGCAGAAATGGGAGATGTGTCCCGTCCCAATGGGGAACTCAGTGGTGCACATGCATTGGATTTCTCTGTGATAAAAGCATTCCAGTACGCTGATCCTCATAACACCCAGGCACTCCATGGGACTGCCATAGGACTGCCGCCCCAGAAAGACCCCCAGTCAACCACCCCAAGTGATCGGCAAATATGGCAGTCCCATGGGTCGTGTTTGGGACAAATTCATGGATCACCCCGAATCAATCGTTGGTCAGAACCGACTCCCTCAGTTTCCCTGACAAAACAAGTAGCAGTAGCAGTACCAGGACCCTCCGTTTGGGGTGTCTATTGATAGCCGCTTAGCTGTGATTCGGGGTGTCCATTAACCACCCCATGGGGGGGTCCTGGTAGATGTTGTTGTTCTATGAGTTTCTGTTCAGTGGGGTGTCCCCAAAGGCGTTGCAGCTTGTCGACGTTATTTGGGTAGAAGATGTCCCTGAGGTCCTTAAGGACTCTGTCGTCCAACAGCTCGGACACCGTCAAAACCTCCACACTTGAACCCCCCCATCCAATCTCGAAACATATCAACACATCTATACCAGCATCTTCCAAGCCCAGTGGTTTCTGGACACCCCTTAACCACTAAGAGGCTATGTCACCTCTTGGTGTCGGTCCTGGTCACTGACTTCTTCGCCAACCCACCTCCCAAACCTGTCTCGCCTTTCGCGGCTAAGTCCATGAAAGCAGATGAGCAAGCGCAAATCATCGTGGCAGCCACTGCGCGCTTCCGCGCGGGACCACGCTCCTCCTTCCGGTCCCGGGGTGGACTCCGGTTGTTGCCTCAGACGCAAGAAGGTCTGTGGTGCTTGAGGTGGATGTTCAAAGGTTCGTCAAAGAGATTGGGTATATATTGGGTCTATCCATGTCTATCTCATTACCAGTAACAGTGGATGATGATGATGATGATGATGATGATGATGATGATGATGATGATGATGATGATGATGATG